CAACGCTGGGCCGAGATGGGCGCCCAGACCTGGCCCGATGTTATCATTCCAGGTTTCAACCAAGTCCGGCGCGGTCCCGGTTGAGGAACGGGTCCCGAAGTTCGGCAGGCCGGCCACCGGGCTTGGGCCAAGCTCGGCCCATTAGTTTTTTCGTACGTGGGGTAATAAGCTCTATTCATTGACACCAATTGAAATTCGATGTTTCATACAGATTCGAAAAAATTGACATTTTTCCAAAAATCAATTTTTCAACGATCACGCAAAAAATTGTCATCAAAATGGAATTAGTCATGGTTAAAAAAATTGACAATAATACCCACTTGATTCTATCAGAATATGATGGGGATCGCCCTATTCGTTGTTGTGTTACAGCACATTGTTTATGTGATTTGAAAAAGAAGATGGATTAGAAAAATAGGTTAGACAAAATCTGCGGTTTTTTCAATAGAATCGGCGAAGAAATATATACTTGTCAATAGGCTTCCAGTCAATTGGCTTGCAAATGCACTATATTTTTCTATGAAACTTTTCCTAATGTGACAGAACTAGAGATCAACTCAAAACTTTGATTCTCTGCAAATTATTTCTCAAAAATATATCAGACGTTACTCGATTTTGAGTGAATTATTGGACGAGGGTTAAGACTGAACATCAAATCTGTAATGAAAAAAATCTCGTGATGAAACTGTGTCGCTTCCCTACATTGATAAAAACAAACTTTTTTGAGAAGTACATCTGTACTTATATCAAGAAATTCGTGGCTTGAAAATTTTCAAGAGCAAAATATCTTGCACCAAGAAAAAAAAACTTTCGTCAAAAAATTTTGCACTAGTCCTAAAGACGAGGACAATTTCTTGATAACAAGAAAGCGATTTCTCATACCAAGTAAAATTGAATTTATTCATTCAATAGTTTTTTAGCCTCAATTCTAAAATATTTTAATGCAAAAACCATTTGAATTGATTTGAGAACTCGTTTTCTTGATATGAACCAAGTGCCCTCAGATAAAATTTCTTGGCGTAAGATTTTTTTTCTTAGTATGAGATATTGTGCGCTTGGTAATTTTCGAGCCATTGACGTACTTCCTAAAAAAAACTCTTGCCTTCTCACAATCAGTGTACCAAAAGAACGAGATTTTTTCAGACTCGCAATATTGTCACGTGTAATTGAAATAATATAAACACAACACTAGAATGCTTTACGTATCTAATCCAATCTAACTAAATCTTTATTCTATGTGTGCTAAAGAAAGACAAAATTTTGCCATGTGTAATTGAAATATGAATTGGCACATTTGCCCGAAATTGTTACCGTTTCTAAGCAATTCAGATTCAGGGAATTGTACGTCATCCCCTCCCCTTTTTCTCCTCTTCTCATCCTCATTTTCGGTATTATAATCCAATAATCTCATGCTGGTAATGTTCATGCTCTTCGCATTGAGAACAATTTGATCTAAACTAGCTGAACCAGTGTAATGAAACTGCACAATGACGTGACCCACCACCGAGACACCATTGTCAGTGGGAGTTGGTAGCAAATCGATCTGATATCGTAGGGGGAATATTTCGGATGAGAGGGAATATTTATCAGCATCTGCTGGCTCCGAGCCTTTGTCTTCAGCTATCAATGCCGTTGCATCGAATATCTTCAAAAATAAATACCAAAAACTATGATTAAACATTAAATGACAAATGTTTAAAATATTAGTAATCTAAAAATAATAATAATTTCAAAAGAATCAACTTTTTGATTAAATTAAAAAACAGACAATTCCAAATAAAAGAATGAAAGCAAAAAATAGGGGAAATATTCTCATTTATTCCAGAAAAAAGAATAAAAATTATTTCATTTATAGACTAAATTACGAGAGACACACATGAAAAAATTTTACAAAGAAAGCGAGCGCATTTGTCATAGAATTCTATTGGATTCGATTGGATAAGATTTGATTTTAATCTAATATTCTCAATTTTCAGCACAGTTTTGTTTTATTAAAAACCGAAAACCCGAGAATATTTGGGCCGAGGAATTTCTACAGAAAATACTTCAATAAAATTTGTCAACGAATGCGCTAGTTTTTTGTGCTTTTTCTTACGTAAATCTTTTATTTAAAAATAACAATGACTTTCCTTCGAAAAAATTCTTCGTGACACATTACTCTGAACCCATTAGTTTCCAAGGTATTCTCCAAACAATCCATATAAAAACGCCACTAGAATAATTTTCTTATCTAAACTAATTTAACTAAATCTGTGTTGTATATGTGCTAAAGGAAGACTCACCTTTTTCTTTGGGATAGCACCGGCATAAGCACCAATAAACCCGACAGCCACGAGCGATAGAAAAATCACAGTGATGAAGATAGCTATTTTCTTATGTGACAAGAAGTAACCACCTCCCCTTTGATACTCAATACCATTCAATCCCGGCTCACTTGTCATAAACTCTTGTCTACTCGATGCGAATTGTGCCATATTGGCAGCTGAAACCGAAATGAATGCGAAAAACCCAATAATTCATATCAAAATAATCAATCCAAATGATCATTAATTACTCTCTCTCTGTTTATTTATTCGATAATGAAGGAAATAACATGAGATTGTTTCTTATTTAGGCATAAAACATCTGTGAGTATCCACTGATTCATTTAACAGTTTTTTATGCTTTTATTTATTGTTAAAGAGTGATGAGAAATTCCAGGAACAAGCGATTATTTCACGAAGTTGGTCGATAACGAGACTGAGCACGAGTGTGTGCCATAACTCCAGTTACCTGCACAGTGGCCTCAGACTCGGGTAATCACGTTCTTTTTTACCTCCACTCAAACAATTCGAATATTCAATTTGTTTGTGAATTTATAACGCGATTGCAGTGTTCAATGCTGGAGGTGGATGAGCGTGACCAGGGAACCGTGAGAATTCACATTGTTCTTCAGCTACACAGGAGGTTCGATAATACACCGGTGAAGCCGGCTCGGCGTCTCTAATAACACATGCTGTTAGTCGGTAATGAGTTTTGACGATTTCAAGATCAATCAACAGATTCATTATCTTATGTCTGGGATATCTGTGGATAGAGTGGGTTTTGCTGAAAATGTGAAAGGACATTTTCCGTGATGAATTCCATTGCCTATGAGAAATGTCTGATGATAAATCCAGGAACCGTTTTAGTTTTGGAGATTTTTGTCAGATAATTCGGGAATTTTTAATGGATTTAGTTTTTTTTATTACTATTATATGGACATCAGTGGACCTAAAGGGTTTAAGAGAGCATATCGAAGCTCAGTAAAAACACATTATTTGAGAATTCTTATTTATGTTTTTTTTATAGCACTTTACAAGTGCGGAAGAGCGTTCAGGTAAGACTATAGTCTATTGCACTTTTCAGAAATTTTTCAATTTATTGTAGAACGTTTTTCCAATCAAAATAACCAGGGGGCCGAGCCTTTCTGTCAGAAGGCATGTGAACGTTACTTCCACGGAGAGAAATGTTCAGTAAAAATTACAGAACTCAGTTCCCTCACCGATTACGGAATCGACTCAGAAAATTTGAGTGACGGTATCGTAATTTTTCACAGGAGATTCAGGTAAAAATTACGGAACGCTCTGGAAAAATTCTGTGATTTTAGGTAAAAATTACGTGACAGTTCCGTAAAATTTCCTACAACCACATTTCGCTCCGGAATTACAGAAAAGATATGTAATTTTTATTGAATATTTCTCTCAGTGTGATGCCATATTTGTCCTTTTCATTTTTTATTTTTACTAATTGCATTGGTAGTAAGCTTTCGAATGGACCCGTAGAAATTTTATTGTTTAATAGAAAAAAAATTATTCTTTTTTTAAAAGATCTGATCCTAGAAACGTTTCACCTTCTAAAATTGAGAATTAAATTTCTATTTTATCTAGTGAGGCAGGCATATCTACAACGACCCCTTTTTAAGAAATGTTTCCATGTGAAAATCAATGATAGAACAACGATATATCATTTTATGAGAAAAACATTTTTTACATCAAGAAAAATCGAAAAACGCCAGTATCTCGAAAACTTTGTAGGAACGGATATATACACTGAGAGAAAAACCATAAAGTTCTCAAAGAACTCGTACTTGTGCCAAGAATAGTATATTTCAGGGCGAGTGCCATGGGGTTTTTTACTCGCGTGGAGTTGGCGTCCGAGTCAAAGGCGAGGACTGGCCAATTACGCGAGTAAAAAAACCCCATGGCACTAGGCGTAAACGATATTTTTCCGTAGTGATTTTCAGTTTTACAAGTTTGGGGAAGGGTCAATACCAATCCCCGGACAAGGAAAAGTGAAGATTTTAATTTATCAAAAAAGAGTTTTTTTGTACCAAACATGCAGAGAGTGCGGCGAGATGAAAAATTTTTGTCCCAAAAATGGATTTAGTAGTTGAAAAAAAAATTGCATTCTCTGTACACCCAAGAAACGTCATTTCTAGCACTACTCCTTCGTTATTCGATACTCCCATACTTATTTTGCTCCCGAAAAATTTGTGTTTTATGCGAAATAAGAGATTTTGTTTCGGCTATCTAATAATCACAGACAACAAATAAACCCTCAAATGAAACAATAATAATGCTATGATAGCAATCTTGTAACTTAGGGATAAAATATTTGTTGATAAATTTTCCTCTACATTAGATATTTTCATCCTGAAAAGGTCCCGTCTGGTGTGACCGTTTAAGCGAAAAATTTCGTTGCTGTCGGAAGCAAAGCAATTATTCATGTTTGAGACTTTTAAATTCGAACCAAACGAATTCTTTTTTGGCAATTTTCAACTAGAGATTTTGTTGGCCCAAACAAGACTTGTTTGAGAAGAGTATATTTGAAAATAACTAGATAGCAGACATCCAGATGAATATTCTTAAGAAAAAAATTGAAATCGGATGAATAGTTTTTGAAATATTAAACAATGTCGTTTTACACAAAAAATTGAGTATCTTCTCATTCGATTTCGCCCATTTGACATTTCAGCGTGTAATACAGTGAGAGCAAGAATCCTACCAAATTTCAACTTGCTATCTCAATTTTTTGAAGCGTATCGTGTTCACATCAATTTTATCACAAAAATGAAAAAATGTCAATTATAGGGTCACTCGCAATAGTTAGCTAAGCGTTTTATGGTCTGATTTGATAGATATTATCATAAGGAATATTTTGACGAATAGAATTCATCAAAAAATTAGAATTAGAACTGTCTGTTTTGCCCCTGTTCCAAAGCCAGAAACACGAAACACTACGTTTTACCTTGAAGTATTGGGCGAAATGTGTTGGATCAAAAAAAATTCTCACTTTTTCAGGTATCCCGTACTATATCAAGAGTATCCCGAAGGCTATTTTCATTAACCCGAGACCTTCGAGTGGACTAGACTTTTCTATGAAATTTTTTTATACATCAGTTTCAAAAATCATCCGAGGATCTTCGTGGAGAATCAAGTTTTCAAAAAAAGTATCTTCCGAAGTTTTCTTCTACACTGAGAAAAAAATTTATTTGTGAGAAATAAATTTTCTCAGCACAAGTAAATATTCAACTGTCCCATACAAAACCTTCATTTGATTACTTGTGTCAAGAAAATTTTCTCTGTTTTTCTTGGGAGAAGTAAATTTTTCTCTCAGTGTAAACCCACTAATTTATCAGATATTTCTCAATTAGTTTTCAAAATAGTTTCTTCACAATTTAGACCTTACCAGAACTCGAATGAGAAAAAAATTAACATTTTTCATGTGTTGTACAAGCGTTTTAGTTTATGATACGGCTCAAACGATAAAGCACGTCCTCATTCTCTCGTAGATTATTGCATAAGAAGGAAAACCCGGAATTTTCAAACAAAGGCTAAACCTAATATAAATGAAAGAAAAATTCGTACAATCTTTAAAAGTTTCATAGTACTCCAATTCAGGCAATGATGGCATCATGATCACCAAATTTCTTATTCCCTATAGGCATATTTACCCACATTAAATGATATCTCGAAAAAACTCACAAATTTCAATTATTTTTTTAATCCACTGACTCTATCGTCCTATCGATACCAATATCGCCATATAAAACTGGGTTACTCGACACCGGGCGGTAGTTTATAACCCGGGGAATTGCAATTGCCATGCATAATCGCCGGCACACCTACGTTCCCGATAACACACATTTTTCTCCCTCAATATTAACACTATTTTTCGCACTTTTTTGTGCCTCGTTAAGTACTTATTAATTGCATGTAAGACTCCCTCAATTTCGTGAACGATGCAACGATGCTAATTGACGATGATTTCAGCAATCTGTTGTTGCCTTGAAGATAATTTGATTTTTTCTATTTTTAAAGAATGAAGAGAATGATGATGCATTTTAAAATAATAAACAGGAATCTTTTTCTTCATGAGTGCAGGAAGAAATATAAAGGATTAAGAACTTACAATTTCGTCGGGCCCATGGCTCCCAAGTGCTCACCGAGCCTCGCCTCATGTGTAATTTTAATCTCGTGGGAAGGCTCTAGGAATAATTTTAATCAGATTAAAATTCACTCTCAACAATTTCTCCACTCTGCACCGTGCAAAATGTACATGTATTATTCCACTGTGGAGACGAGCCCACAACCACAAGGAATCACCTACGCAATTGTCTGACAGGTAGAGCGCAATTAGCCAGTATTTCCACCTGCGGTCAGTAGGCTTGATGCTGGTTCATTCGACGTGCAGTGTTATGACCTCCCCCTCCCAACGTACATCATGCCAATGCAACGACGATTCTTGGGTTTTACGTCAGACTTAGGTGTTATGTGTTAACTGTACCCGGGAGATAAAAATTTGAATCGATGGAGGTGTGCTGAGGAGGATGGAACAGTAGATGATTCATTGGAAGAGGTTTTACTTCCGAATGGAAGCTAATCGTCAAATTCCCGTTTTGGATTTTTTGTGTTACTAGCCGCATTGTTTCCTGAAAAAAAGTCACTTTGAGGAGATGAAAAAGATATCCAATACAAATGAGGGAAAGGGCTGAATTTTTCCATTTATTCGTGATTTTTAGGAACTTCAGAAATTTTAGGTATATATATATTTTTGTTTAGTTATACAAAAAACATGTTCACGTATGTCTACTTTAAATTCCTCCCAGCAAGTCCTCACAGCAACGATTAGTAATTTTTCTCAACTCAGGAGTTTTTATTTAAAATGTGTTTTAAACAAAATACATATTCCAGAAGTTTCAATTTTACCGTGCTCTCCGGACTACCACACTACCCCTCACTCCTCTCCAGGCTGACTCAAGCGGGAAATCACTCGCAGGAGGCCCTATAAAGGGAGTCATAAAATTTCTACGCCCGATCCACAAGGGCCTATTCAAGCTATTGTAACTGAGATAATTGGGTCCGGGAGCTACGACGATCACTCGATGAGTACTCTTTGCCCTCCTCTGTACTAGCGCCACCTAACGTGTTAATGCCTTTTCATTATGCCCTTTTTCCTGTTAGATTCGATTTTCCTTTCTTTAGATTTCCTTAAATCGGATTCAATGTCCCTCTGATGAGTGCTACTACTATATTTTACATGAAATTTCGAAAAATCTCTAACAATGCTGTGTGTACACAATGTTTTTCTCATTTCATAATTGTTCATAATCTCCTAACATTTACTTTTTTTCTCATTAACCCCTCCACGTACGGGCTCGGTATGTCACACCGACCCATGCCAAAACGCACGGCTCTTTTCAAAATTGAATATTTCCGAAACTATGGCAGATAATACAATCGGACTAATACCATTGGGAAGGTGAATACTGTAGCTCCAATTATATATTTTATTTATACTTTTTCATTCATCAGAAAATATGGGATGCGAAGAGTATTGAGCTTGTGGTAGAATTGGTATCAGAAAGGCCCCGTACGTGCGTTAAAGAGCAATTTTCCTTGTTTAAGAACTTGAGGAGATCGACGATCATAATTGGTGTTATTAGAATGGAAGGACAATGTTATTTTCATTCGAGTAAAAATTTTTTTACTTCAGAGTCAATTTTTTGTTTTTGGGATACAAATAAAAATGACACAACAGATTGTATTATTCATTGAATCTTCAACAAGACAATTCACTTTCTCTTATTACATTTTGATCAATATTGTAGTATCAATGTTATCGTTCATAATTTAGAACGACTTTTTGTGATGAATAAATACATTTCCATGTATGATGACCTTCTACGAGTACTTTCATCCCGCGTAAAAGCATCTATTTATTGTCACAGAAAATTATGACCAGTTGTAATACCCCAAGACCTTCAAAATTATCGGATATTTCTTGATAGTTTTGTTGCATACCAACAAGAGGGATAAGTTGTGCATTTTAGGCCCTTTTTCTTCTACGGCCCATAGGAGCAGAGAAAAATGCGAAAAACATCAAAATCGATTACTTTTTCTTGAAAAATATCTTCCTCTAAACATTTCTATCTAAAAAAACAGCGAAAAACAAATATAATTTTCAACACACTAGATTTTTTCTTATGAATTTTTTTCTCATATATGCAATTATATCCACTCGCAATGCAAATGATGGATAAACCTCCCGTCAACATCCGTTAAAGCCTACAATAATTTATAATTCTAGAAAATCACAGGTAAACCAACAGTTTCCGTTCAACTCCCCTCCCTCAATCTAATAAGACAGAATCAGAACATCAACAGTGATTCAACTCGTCCTCTTTACCCATTCAAAAAGGTTCCCCCTTCCCTAGGCATATTTTTTTTTCCTCTACATCAGTGACACCGAATTGAGCCATTGACGTAGGCAAAGTTTCCAATTGGATAATCATCACGAGTTCGTACCACAAACGTGAGGCCATTACTAGCGTTATGATAAAGTGGTTAAGGGCCAATCCGTGCCTGGGCTTCACGAGCCACGACCGGTCACGAGGTGCCACCTTTATTTTGCTCAAATCATTTTTTTTTAATTGAATGGATCCCAAGGAAGGGTGGAGAGACATACATTGACCAGTTGACCGAGAGCTACGTGCTATCACGGTTATCATTTTATAACACTAGTTATTATTCTAAAATCACCTGAATTTAGCAGAGAATAATTTAAATTTGGTTGATGATCATTCGTGATTGAGTTTGATTGATTCTTGGATTTTTAATTTGGATTAAATTAGTGAGGCGAAAGTGATTGCAAAATGAGGCTGGTAGCCTCTCTGATCCTATGTGCTGCACTTACTGTCTCTGATGTCTACCCGGAAGTAAGATTTTTTCTGAAAATATGAGAATTTGATGGTAGAACTTGATCATTAAGCAGTGAAGTGGTGAAAAGAGAAATATTTTTCAATTTTAGGATCACACTGTTTGAAAAAAAAAATGAAATTTCATGGACTACTAATTATCGGGACAGTGACACTGAATGCGATTTAGGGTAAAAAAAATGAAATTGGAAGTTTCACTGAAAATTTAATAAAATTCCAGAATTTTAAGCAGCAGAAAGACAAGAATTCCTTAATTTAATTGGATTTACAATCTAATATGAATATTCAGTGCCAAATTATATTGAATTTTCAGTGAAATCTCAGATTTCAATATTTTTTTCTCCCTAAATCGGATTCAGTGTCACTGTCCTGAAAATTCAAGAATATATTTACCAGAATTTTCTGGTTTTCTATTTATTTCCAGGGGAAATTGGAACTGAGATTTACAGTTCTCTTTGATTTTTCCACAAAATTCTGAATTTTCAATGATGAAATTCCTTGAAATTTCAGTTGTAATTAAATTCGATAATAATTTCCGAAAAGTGTGCCGGAAATTTCGGACAAAGATTTTTAACCGTGCGCCTATTTAGAGAGTTGTTTTAGGAGAGAATGCCGCAAGAATTTCTTTGTAGGGGGAACAATTTCTGACGAAGAAGGTTTTTTGTTGCATTTCCTTAAGATGCTGGTGTAAATGATCATCGAATCACTCAAGGGGATCCATTTATTTCCATTACGCTGTTCGTAAAACGTTGTTTTCCAGACACTTGGTATCCATCAAACGGCGTTTACGGACGTTGGGAAGAAAAATTATGTTTGTCGTTCGGCCGAAAACTACTTTTCAAAAAGTTTTCGGTCTTGAAAAATAGCTATTTTCGGCACAAAAACATTTCTGACGAGTGTGAGGGTTGCAGACCGAGGCGAAACCGAGGAATGCAATCATACGAGTTAGAAATAGTGTATTTCGCGTCGAGTGCCACTGGAGTTTTCGATGAGTACGAGGTTGGCACGCCGAGCTGAAGGCGAGGGGTGCCAATCACACTCGTCGAAAACCCCTGTGGCACTAGGCGCGAACGATATTTTTCTGTAGTGACTTTCACTTTTGCCAGTTCGGGGGAGGGTTAATGCCAATCTCCGGACTGGGAAAAGTGAGGGTCAGTACAGAAAAGTTGTTTTCGGCAGAGTGACGAACATAATTTTTCTTCACAGTGTCCGTAAGCGACGTTTTACGGACAGTGGGATGAAAATAGCTATTCTGATACAGGTGTCACCACTCTGGTAGGAGATGAGGAATGAGCAAAGATTGGCCGAGGTGTAGCCCATTATTGGCCAGTACCGAGCTATCGTAAAATGTAGAGACAAATCGTAAAATATAAAGATAGTATATTATGTTATCAGAGGAAGTATTATCTGACGAATGTGACTTTATGATCCGAGCCGAAGACGAGAACTATAATGACATGAATGAAATAATAATACTTTTATGGCCGTGTCACATACAATATTTTACGTCATTGGGCCCGAAAGGCCCACAAGGCTCACTGTGCTGTGTTAGATAACGATTTCTCAGGCTTAGTGACATAAAAATTTGAAAAAGGAATAGCAATATTTCAGGACGAGTGCCATGGGGTTTGTTACTCGCGTGGTTGGCCAGTCCTTACCTTCAGCTCGGACGCGAACTCCACGCGAGTAAAAAACCCCCATGGCACTAGTCGTAAACGATATTTTTCCGCAGTGATTTTCACTTTTACGACTTTACGAAAAAATATTTAACGACTAGCTGTGCCCCAAATGTTGCTCTTGCTTTTCCTTCCACAAAAATTTGCGTAGTGTTCCAAAAAGTTTTATGGATTTCAAGAAGAAAAATAATTTTCTTTTTTTCTAGAAAATCAGAGAATTTTCTGCAAAAAACCCGATACATTTCTCGATTTTTCCAACAAAACAGTGAATTTTCTGAAATTATTCAAAAGTTATACCCTTGTATACAACTTAGTGCAGTAATTTATAGTCTATTTTCGAATACCGATCATAAACTAAGCAACAGTCAAAGTCCCATTAAAATCCATCCAGACGTTTTTACGTGCGTCGCGAACAAAAGAACAGATTTATTATATGTAAAATTAATGATCTTCAAAAATAGTTAAGAGACCCTACATAAATGATCTAGATGGAAAGAAGAATATAATAAATGATCAATTGCAGGGATGTTCGCATTGTTGGTTACAGAATAGAAGTAGATCGAAGAGGAGTATCGATTTCAACGATGTCCTCAAACTCCCGGCGTACAGAATGCCGAGAGATTTGAAGCCCATTAGTTACCAGTTGGAGATCCATCCGTCAACGAAAAATGGAACATTCAGGGGACGAGTTTCTATCCTCGGGGTTTGGCCGACTGAAGGGTCGCGGATCAAGCTTGATGCACACGAAGATCTCAATATTACTGATGTCACCGTCAAGTGTTTGAATGTCAATACCACGTGAGCAATATTCTAAATGATTTAGGACTGTTAACGCCCCTAGGGTGGTAATTGGAGGCAATTTTGATGAACTCATTTTTGCTATTCCTTTTATTTTCTTGGATCAGTTCAGTGCCGACGTGGCAGCGCGGAACTTTGGAAAATTCATGTTCAAAAATTTGTATAAGATTATAAAAATGTATTAACTTCTCACGTTATAAATAGAATTTCAATAAATCCCTTAGATCAACCGCTAATTTTGCTATTAATTTTTTTCATACGTGAAGTAATGGCATACACATACGAAAAATTTCTCAGCAATATTTTATAGATTTATATTTTTTATAGAACTTATTCCATTCAGACATTTTCTGTAGAAATTCTTCGGCACAAATTTTCCAAACTTTCTTCACTTCATTTGGTTCCTTCTCTCATTGAAAAATTCAAGCGAAAAAAAATTTCATAAATTCCAGTCAAGGGATTTCCATGGATGGGGTAAATTGGACAATTCAGACATTTTTTTTAATATTCCCAATTCAGGAATAAATTGAATAACTGAGCTCTATCTGGGCTGATTATAAAGAGAAAGAAGTATACTCCCCAAGGAAAATAAAATTATTCAATTTCATCAGCAATTGAATAAGAATGAATTTTCACCACATTATTCAAATTTAAAACCATAAAAGATTTTATTAGTCAACATATTACACGAATGCCGACGGAAATTCATCTAATTCTTGAATAATGCATCGGAAAAATTGATTCTAGAGTGAAAATGTTTGTAGAGATACGTGGGAGCCAGCAGACATTGCTCGAAGGCAGCACAACTGCCAGAAATCTGAATACAACATCGACCTGGAGCAGTGGTTCGTACCAGGTCGTAAATGCCAGTTGAACATCACCTACACTGGGAACGTTACTTCTAGCGAGAGTGCCGGGATTTTTATGAACTCATACCTAGACACTCAAGCCCAGGAGCAGTAAGTTTTTTGAAGAATAAATCTGACAACTTTAGAGTAGGATAGAGTAGACATCCATTGTTCCCGAGTAGATTAGTTCAGGGGTCAGTTACTAATAATTTGAGATACACAATGGTTCAAACGACGTACAATTGTCAGCACGTTCATCGCAACGCATCTGAGGCTCAATAATGCGAGGCGGCTGTTCCCTTGCATCGATGAACCGGAGTACAAAGCTATGTTTGAGCTGAGTATCATCAGGCCGGTGAAGATGATTTCTAGGTCTAATACACCGCTTAATTATACTGTTGAAGTGTAAGTATTGCAAATATTAAATTAACTCTAGTCTGATCAGTGTACGCGACCGTGCGACACTGATTTTTTCGGCCTGTTGCGATGAATCACACCAAGGCCGAATGACGAACAATATTTTTTTCTGTACTGCTTCTCACGATTTCTCGTCTGGGAATTGGTATTACATACTTCCCAAACTCGAAAACTTGAAAATCACTACAGAAAAATATTGTTCCTGGGCTGTTGCGATGGGGTTTTTTACTCGTGTGGTAGGCCAGTCCTCGTTTACGCTCGCCTCCGAGCCGTAGGCGAGGACTGGCCAACCACACGAGTAAAAAACCCCATCCCAACAGGCCAGGAACAATATTTTTCTGTAGTGATTTTCAAGTTTTCGAGTTTGGGAAGTATGTAATACCAATTCCCAGACGAGAAATCGTGAGAAGCAGTACAGAAAAAAATATTGTTCGTCATACGGCCAAAAAAAACTTTTCTGACGAATATGATGGCAGCCCTCGCCTTCGGCTCGTGCTGCAAACCTCATATTCGCCAGAAAAGTTTTTTTCGGCCTAATGACGAAATATACTATTATGTCATTAGGCCCGAAAACAGCGACCTAACCAAGCGAAGCGAGGTTGCGTCATAAAATATCGTATGTCACACGGCGATAAAAGCATTATCTGACGAATGTGGCATCATAATCCGAGCCGAAGGCGAGTTTTATCGCCTGATGACATAATATACTATTTTTCTAATCTACCATATTCTCTACAAAAAAATCCCATAACATATTTCGCTGAACTCATCAATTCCGCAGACGGCAGCAATATATCAATTCGATCAAATGTATTGCAACTATCTTCAAATGGTATGATGATGTTTAAAATATAGAAACGATGATAAGATGATTTTTTTCAAGTCCCAATGATCCAACTCTGATGAAAGATGTCTTCGAAAAAACCCCAGAAATGTCGACGTACCAACTCGCCTTTATGATATCCGACTTTGAGAGCATATCTCCAACTAGATCAGTGAATCCTTCGGAGACTCGTAAGCCCCTGGAGATTAAAGTCTGGGGGAGAAGGGAATACCTGAGTACCCTGTCAAAAGTGCCCAATAAAATTGTGACTATTGTCAACTATCTTCAGCATTACTTTAATATCTCCATTGGACTTTCGAAGCTGGATATTGTGGCAATGCCCATGTACACAGCCACAAAGCCTTCTGATAACTGGGGACTCATGTTCTTCAGGTGTGTTTATTTCGTTTTATCTGCATGATTGGTATTTTGTGAGAATGTTTTTCTTGGTGTTTCCACTTGGTTTAATACCTGATACATACAGCTATCGTACGACATGCAAGAATTTTATCCAAAACAAGTATCAAAAAGATTTAAGTGGTGAGTTTCTTCAACCAACAAATAACTCTGGAAACCCGGCACACTTCAAGAAGTATTAGTAGTTACTTTAATGATACAAGTGAAAAAAGTGCACTTTTTCCACGCTTCGCGCGCAAAAAACCGCCTTTTTCTCACCAGTATTACGGAATTTATGGCGTTGTCTCGAGAGAAAAAAAAGTCAAGATATTGATAATTTTTTGTAAATCCGTTCTTTTATGTATTAAGAAATCACGTGCCAAATCTCAGGTAGCCTAGGAGAAGGACAACAACGGAAATAATTTCTGAAGTTGCTATTTATGCATGCAGTTGAATGGGGCATCGATAATTTCAGCAGTGTTCCCATGTTGCCGACCGGTCGATAATGTAGGGAAAACGCTGAAATTATCGATGCCCCATTTAACCTCATGCATAAATTGCAACTTTATAAATTATTTCCGTTGTTGTCTTTCTCCTAGGCTATCTGAGATTTCGCACGTGACTTCTTAATACATAAAAGAACGTATTTATAAAAAATTATCAATATGTTGACTTTTTTTGTTTCTCTCAAGACAACGCCATAAATTCCTTAAGGAAGAGTGGGATTAAATAAAACAGCGGGGCAAAATGAAACAGCCGAAAAACAACTATTTGACGCAATTCAAGCAAAAAAAAAATTTTTTAGCAACTTTGTTTTAATCACTTTTGTTTATCAAGGTTCTTTATTATTAGAAGTACTGATGAGAATAATAATTTTCTATTCGGTAGGAAAGAACATGCGGTGCGAAAAATTCACGGATATTTGAAACCGCTATATAGTTTATCGACTACCTGCACAGATGAATCCCACTCCCCTGTTACAACTGGATCTTAACGTCCACTAGTCAGCTTGTCCCCGGACAAACTAATACCTCGTCATTGTTGAGTCTATGTTCTCTCCTCATATTGAGACGATAATATTAATAATTTTCACTAATCTTATCCGCAGTTCTCTTTTCAAGTTATTTGAAATACTCCATCTACAATTCAATTGATTAGATTAGGGCGATGACACTTTTCTTTTTTCATTTTTTCGATTGATTCAGCAATCAATCGTCGCCGGTCCACCTGTCTCCGCACACATTTTCCTTTTTCCCCCTCTGGGTCTCCCCCTGAGCCGTCGTCCAGAGTTTGAATTTTGCTATTTCATTTTCTTTTCAATAAATCCATTGCCAAAATCTTCTCCTGTCAAAACTTCTCAATAATTTTTCATTCTACTGAATGCAAAGTTATTATTCTCATCAGTACTCCGAATAAGAAAAAAAAAAGTTGATAAACAAAAGCTAATTAAAAAAATTGTAAACAACAATTTTTGTTTCACTTGAATCGTGTCATAATGTCGTTTTTCAATTAATTGAAACTTTCACGTAAGTTGGGGTCGAATATTTATGTTTCTAGTAAGAATTCAGCCTAATTTGTGAAATTTTCGGCTGCTTGCTCCTTACATATTTGGAATTCCATCGAATTTTCAGAATATTGTCGATTGTTAAAAACTTGAATAGGAAATCGAGAAAAATTTTAGGATAATTCATAGATAATCCAATTGTGATTCTACGCATCTTATATTGATTCCAGATGAATGTCATTATTGACATTTTTCGAATAAAATACCTTAATCGCCTTCAATATCAGTTTATCGAAAATGACCACTGAATTGACTATGAAATTTTCATTTTTCCCTAACAATGTTGTAGGGATAGAATAACAATGATGTAGGTATAGTACATTTCGTTATTACACGGAGAGAAAAATTCAATAAAAATTACCAGAAAAAAGAACGTAAAAATTACGTTTCGAAACGTAATCTGCGAGCGAAGTAAAATTCAATAAAAAGTGTCAGTTGGAACTGAAATTGTGCGAATCGCTACATAAATTCTACGATTGGTTCCGTACAAATGAACCACCCGTTTGATGGTAGGCGGAAAGAATGACCGAAAATGACCGGTCATTTTGTCGGTTCCTATACCCAACGCGTGTTACTACCCATCGGCGATTTTTTCCTTCGGCTATTTTTTCGTACATTCCCATCTGATGACTCACCGCCTTGGGGACAAGTCGTTCCGTAATTTTGCTCCAACGATTGAAAAATTTTACGGAACGGAACGTAGAAATAACTCACTAGATTCATAAAAGATGTTGAACGTTTAAGAATTTTTTATTTTGGAGGCATAATAAGTCGGCAAGTTTCTGTAAAATTTTACTTCGGGAAAAATTACATGACAATTTCGTACTTTGATCGGTGTCCGGTGGCTTGGCGCAGTGGGTAAGTTCGTTGCCTCACATGCGAAAGGTTCCGAGTTCAAATCCCGGCTGAACCTGAGAATTCACTGAACGTTTCAGATTTCGTCTCTTCCATTCTTATAAAAATTTCCGGAAAAGGATTCCCCATTGCGGATTACGTGAATTGTTCTGTAATTTTTACTGAATATTTCTCTCCGTGTAGGCCGAAAAAAAAATTTTATCATAACGCGTAGCGTCCGTAAAGCACTGTCTTACGACCGGAATGACAAAAATTTCTGTTTTCATCAATTCTTCGTTCTAATTGATTATAGGGAGGGCGAACTAAGCAGTCCCCTAGTATGGAATACAGCATATGAACTGATATACCAATGGATTGGCCAGAGAGTCACTCCCTTCCGTTGGAGTGATGCCCAAGTGAACAAGGCACTGAACTCATTTCTCGCTTCGAAAACAACAGTCGACGTAAGCGGTTTTCCAAAGTTTTGCAATAACTGCATTATCAAACAAGAGAACCAGAAGCAAAAAAAACCGCGAAACTGCGAATTTTATTCATGCTCGTTTTTCAATACTTTTTATTGTTCTCAGATCGATCCCAATGAAATGGAGGGCAAGTGGCCAATGACGTTACTCTACTCTCTTTATTACGAATTCGGTAAAACTTTTCCATTCTCAAGAGTGGCTGGAATAAGGCACGAGGCTGTTTCCGCTAAGAGTGAGCGAAAATTCAATAAACTTTAGTAATCACTTGCGGTTATGCACGTGTGAAGAATTGTTGAGTGCTTCATACCTTGTGATTCTTTTTCCTCGTTTATCTCTGTTATTATCGGTCTCAAGCAAACGTGAAGACTCAGTACTTCATAACTTATAATTTTCGTATTTTCGTCTTCAGTGAATTGCGTTGTTTCTTTCATTAAAAAAAAATGTCATCTTATTTTCCACAGCTGAACTCGTCTTCCGTATGTTTAACTATACGTTGGGAGAGGAAATGTTCAGGAAGGGAGTACAGAGGCTTATTCATGAATCATCCAAAAAGTAAACAATTTTTCTTCTGTTCTTGTTGACTTTAAGTAGAATACCTGTGATCAATTATAAAACATTCTTCGTAGCTGAGGACTTTTCTCGCAAAGAATGAACAGCAAAAACGAATGTCTGAATTTCAACCGCCTTTTGTAGACATTTTTCAGACACTAAAAAACTTCTGAATAAAATAAAAATTTGTCTAAATTGCAGACAAGCAGGTGCCTAAACATCTTAATTCATCTTTAAAATTCAAACAATTTCGCATTTTATTCAGACGTTTATTAGTGTCTGAAAAATGTCAAAAGGTGTGTGAAATTCAAACATTCGTTTTTGCTGTGTGGCTTCAAGTATTTTCTCCTGAATCCACTTACTACCGAGATTGATGGACAATTACGGAAAATTGCATGTTTTAATTTGAACAATTTCAAAAGGCCGTGACTATTCGCACCATTGCGTGAATCACTCCCGTACACTCCATACACTCCACGCATGCGTGAAGTTTATGTGTTTCACGCAGCCGAATTTTCATACTGCTGTGTATTTCACGCAGTTGTATTTTTATACACCTGTGTGTTTCACGCAGTTGCATTTTGATACGCCTGTGTGTTTCACGCAGTTGAAGTTTTATACACCTGTGTGTTTCAAGCAAGTTGCATTTTTATACGCCTGTGTGTTTCACGCAGTTGTATTTTTATACACCTGTGTGTTTCACGCAGTTGTATTTTTATACACATGTATGTTTCACGCAGTTGTATTTTTATACACCTGTGTTACACGCAGTTGCATTTTGATACGCCTGTGTTTCACGCAGTTGTATTTTTATA